TCCGGAGCAGGCAACATGGGAAGCATCGGCAATGATCCGTCTGCATGAGCGTCAGAGCCCTTCCGAACTCGCAGCGGGAACACGTTTTCATCGTGCGCTCAATGCCAGGATTGCCACTTGCTTTTCTAGTTGCCAGGTTACTTCACGGTAAAGACTTACGCCGGTCAAAGGGGGCCTAGTACTACTCAGCGCCCCAAAAAAGAAGCTTGGGAGGCCAGAATCCAAGCCACCCCTAACATTTCAGCCTTCACGGGGTTTAGGTTGACTATGGTTGACTATGTTGACGTCTTGAAGCGGAATCCAGACGATGAGACACCACGCGTTTAGCGCCTAGGGTTCTTGTGGCACTCGCTCGGAACCCTAAACTCTGGCAGGCAGCCTGCATGCGTAAAAAACACTGGCGTGTGTCTAGCTTTCGTAGCCACTGTCTCAAGTACTGGTACTTCAATACCCTTGCCCTTTCTTAACGTCTGTGCAGCCGTCTTCTGAAGAGGCGGGTCGCTCTTCGGCGCCAGCAGCAGCAGCAGCAGTGGTGGCCACAATCTCAGCACTCTGTGTGCAGTAGAGGCGGGAGGTGGGTTGGGCTTTAGAGATAGGAGTACCGGTACTAGCCGTGGTGCTCCCATTTAAAATTGGTTCTGCTTCATGGCTTCTGGCGCGACGTGCGGTGTCACACATCAGGCGCAGATTCAGGCGGAAGCCTGTTCGGCGCAGGCGCATGGGAGGTTTTCACACTCACTGTAAGCTTGCAATCTGATCTAGGCGCTTAGTCAGATGCTGCCAGCCTCAGAATGCGAATTGCATCTGATGGCGAGGGTTGACTTTTTAAGACCATCCGCACTTCAGCGTGTGCTGTGTAGCTGACAGACCGCGAAGCGCCACAGGAAGCGGAGGGGCGTCGCTCTTTGGCGCTGGCAGCAGTGGAGGCGCCCGGATCATCGTCGACCTGGGGAGCACCCAAAAACTTGCTGTCCCTGTCCGCAAACTCAGGGATGTCAACTTGTCTGAAAGGGGACCCTTTGCCAAATGGGCTTCCGCTTTCCGACAGAAGCTAGGGATTCCGTAGAGTCCCAGAGACCACATGTCCAGGGCCAAGGGATTCGGGAACCTGTGATCGGTAAGGCGTCATGAAACCAGCGCTTGAAAGCGCATCCAAAGGAAAGGGCAATGAAGAAATACAGGCTCGACGGTTCGAACATCATCCTCAGACAGGCAACTCGGGAGATTCAGGGCGAGCGACAATGAGCGACAGACGGCGGGAAATGAGCATGCTAAGAGTGGTTTCAGGCTAGCAGCTGTGAGTCGGTCAACGGTTTTGGCGGAAGGAGGCTGCAGGGTTACAAGGTTTGGCTGGCGGGCCTCCTGGACTGAGTTTAGTGTGTACATGGGTTTCAGATGATTTGGGGTTACGGGCTTGCTCTCCAGGGTCTGTGTACATAGGCGTTTAGAGTCCGTGCTGGACCGGTTGAATCGAACCAATCATTTGGGTCCAGTTTGAAGGGACAGGTGATCAATGTATTACTGTCTTCGTGGCATGCTGTCTTGCCAAACGGGCTTCCTGTTTCAGGCGGAGCTGCCCCGCAGCTGCCCCGGAAGGGCTTCTGCGATAGGATCAGCTGCACATCAAGACAGCAGCTCAACCGCTGCCAGTCGCAAGAAGAATTGGGAAAGAGCCGAGGTCCTCTGGCGGCAGCCTATTCGGCAGTGCCCCGACATCAGGCGTGGCGTGGGAGGTTAGCCGCTGGTCCCAACACGCATCAATGCAGAGTCATCTAGGTATTGTAAGTCAGAGATGTAACGGGCCTGCAGTGATTTGGAAGGTGTTTTTCTGACATAATGACAAAGAGAGTTGTGCTTCAGGGTGCCTTGCAGTTGAGCGTGGCAGAAAGCAAATCGCCGCAGGAGGCGGAGGAGCATCGATCTTTGGCGCCGGCAGCGGTGGCGCACTCAGTTGGGGGATAACTGGCGCTTTGCAAGCTGCTGGCTACAGCGGTCGCACGCTGTCTTGCCGACCGCTTCCTAGGCGGAGCTGCCCCGCGGCTGCCCTGGAAGGGCTTCTGCGATAGGATAATCGGCACATCAACGCATCAGCTCTATCGCTGCCAGTTGCAAGAAGAATTCAGAAAGAGCCGAGGTCCTCTGGCGGCAGCCTATTCGGCAGTGCGCCGACATCAGGCGTGGCGTGGGAGGTTAGTGGCTGGCCAGAACACACATCACGCTTAAACTTGCTACAGGAAGGCAAAGTCAACATGGTATCGTAAGTCAAAGCTGTAACATGCTTTACCGGTCTGCAGAATGTGAGTTGCTTTCGATGGCACGCTGAAGAGCTGATTTGGAAATCCTTGTTTGACGCAATGGCACAGAGAATTACTCTTCCGCATGCCTTCAGAAGCGGAACGTCACAGGAGGCGGAGGAGCATCGATCTTTGGCGCCGGCAGCAGTGGCGCACTCAATTGGGGGATGCCTGGTGCTTTGTTGTTGGGTGACAGTGGTTTCTGCATTTCCCGTTGTTGGCACGCTGTCTTGCTGAATGCTTCCTAGGCGGAGCTGCCCCGCAGCTGCCCCGGAAGGGCTTCTGCGATAGGATCAGCTGCACATCAAGACAGCAGCTCAACCGCTGCCAGTCGCAAGAAGAATTGGGAAAGAGCCGAGGTCCTCTGGCGGCAGCCTATTCGGCAGTGCCCCGACATCAGGCGTGGCGTGGGAGGTTAGCCGCTGGTCCCAACACGCATCAATGCAGAGTCATCTAGGTATTGTAAGTCAGAGATGTAACGGGCCTGCAGTGATTTGGAAGGTGTTTTTCTGACATAATGACAAAGAGAGTTGTGCTTCAGGGTGCCTTGCAGTTGAGCGTGGCAGAAAGCAAATCGCCGCAGGAGGCGGAGGAGCATCGATCTTTGGCGCCGGCAGCGGTGGCGCACTCAGTTGGGGGATAACTGGCGCTTTGCAAGCTGCTGGCTACAGCGGTCGCACGCTGTCTTGCCGACCGCTTCCTAGGCGGAGCTGCCCCGCGGCTGCCCTGGAAGGGCTTCTGCGACAGGATCATCGGCACATCAACGCATCAGCTCTATCGCTGCCAGTTGCAAGAAGAATTAAGAAAGAGCCGAGGTCCTCTGGCGGCAGCCTATTCGGCAGTGCGCCGACATCAGGCGCGGCGTGGGAGGTTAGTGGCTGGCTAGAACACACATCACGCTTAAACTTGCCACAGGAAGGCAAAGTCAACATGGTATCGTAAGTCAAAGCTGTAACATGATTTAACCGGTCTGCAGAATGTGAGTTGCTTTCAATGGCACGCTGAAGAGCTGATTTGGAAATCCTTGTTTGACGCAATGGCACAGAGAACTACTCTTCCGCATGCCTTCAGAAGCGGAACGTCACAGGAGGCGGAGGAGCATCGATCTTTGGCGCCGGCAGCAGTGGCGCACTCAATTGGGGGATGCCTGGTGCTTTGTTGTTGGGTTACAGTGGTTTCTACATTTCCCTTGGTGGCACGCTGTCTTGATGAATGCTTCCTAGGCGGAGCTGCCCCGCAGCTGCCCCGGAAGGGCTTCTGCGATAGGATCGGCTGCACATCAAGACAGCAGCTCAACCGCTGCCAGTGGCAAGAAGAATTGGGAAAGAGCAGAGGTCCTCTGGCGGCAGCCTATTCGGCGGTGCCCCGACATCAGGCGTGGCATGGGAGGCTAATCGCTGGCCTTAACACACATCGCGTCTTAGCCTGCCATAGCTCATGATGGCAGTGTAAGTCAGGCGCAACCAGCTGTCAGGATCTGATGGCACGCTAGGGCATCCTAAAGACTTCACGGAAGATCTTTCTAACGTTGAGAGCGTTCGTTCTTCAGGGTGCCTTGTGCCTGGCGACATCACAGGAGGCGGAGGAGCATCGCTCTTTGGCGCTGGCAGCAGTGGCGGCGCACTCAATGGTGGGTTCGAGATGGGCTGCATAGAACCTGAATGCAATCCAGCCGCTGTTCCTTGAGGGGCCAGCATCTTTGGCTCCGGCGCCTCCAGTCGACCTGTCATGTACATGCTTGCAAACAGCTTGTGGCCGAATATTGCCATGCAAATGGCAATAGGTGCACGCCTGTCGTGGCACCGAGTGACGCGAGTCAGGTGGAGCTGCAGGGCAAGCCGGCGGGCAGTTGTCCCAGAGGATCCAGAGGCTTCGAGGTGAAGAGATCTCGTCCTCGTCAGCGAACCGTTGATCAATTCCAGGTCAGCCGGCGGAAGCCTGTTTGGCAGCACGCCTGCGACAGGACTGGCGACCGCGCCTACATAGTGCTTGCTCATCCAAGGTGTGTGTGTGTGTGTGTGTGTGTGTATGTGTGTGTGGGAATGACATCACAAGACACAGTGTGGGAGTGCAAGGAGGGGGCTCACTCTTTGGCGGAAGCAGCAGCAGTGGTGTGCCACTGAGCCATTATGACTCTGCAGAAATTGCAGAACTCGTTGGATTTTTGAAGGGTTGTTGAGAACGGATGGGCATGCGGCGTGGCTGAGGTGCCAGCCTCTTCGGTGCGAGTGCCTCCAGTGGACCTGGCATGCACGTCGCTGGCAGTCGTAGGCCGATGACTTGACTGGTGCCTCTCAGGCGGAGCTGCCGGGTTTTCCAGCAGCGGGTTGGGGGCAAAGTGCGACGCAGATACCATGCACGGCATGGCCACGGGATTTAGCGAAGATCAGCTTCCTCAGGGCCGTTGGGGGCAGCCTCTTCGGCGGTGCTGCGCCAGCAGCATCAGGTGAGACGATATTGACCCATTCCCAGCAACAGACAGGGTGCTGAAGGGCTCGTGACGGATGCAGGCCGATATAGCCTTGAGTATGATGCACGAATTGGTCCGACAGGCACTGAACTTCAGCAAGCCAGTGCCACTGTGATTGAGCCCAGAGCTCGGTTCCTGCGGACTTTTGGATCCTATCGTCATCGGTTAGTCAAGCGAAGCGTGGAGCTTCGTGCGGCATGCTCCGAAGGCATCGAAAAGTGAGCGACCTCCTTCGGATGTGGGAAGAGCGCATTCAGAAGCAGGCTTTCCACTGCTTTGCTATTGATTCTGGGCACTCGGGTAAATTTTCTGCCTTTCTAGGCGCAGCATTTCGATGCCCAGCGCCCAGCGCATTGTCTGGCTAGTAAGGGCAAGTTCCAGCGCCGCGGCATTTGTGCAGCAGAATTTGCTGTAGACGATGGCTGTCGTATGCTTTGAAATCTGTGGGTGCTGGTGAAGCCCCATGGCTATTTGTTTTAATGGTTTGGATCCACACTTCCTCCAAGGCCTTTGCCGAGCAAATCCTAAGATTCGACACCGACGTCATTGCGAATGCCGCCAAGGTTAAGGCCAGGTTGTTGAGGTTCTGTTCCAGATCAGTTTGGGCATGCCAGGGGTCGTGATCTGTAGCTATGCAAGCTTGTCGCCGAGTTCGAAGTCCGGGTGGCAGGTCCTGCGAGAAGAGCACGCCCAGCTGAAAGCGCGGCAGGAGTTGTCCGATCGGTCAATCCAGCAGATTTGGGATCAGCAGGACCCATTCGCGTCTCGCACCAGAGCCAAGGAAACCTCAAACCCAGTTTCGCACCCCTCAACCCTCAACACTTTGACGGCCCAAAGCCTATATAGACTGACCCCGAGCTCCCTCAACCCTAAATGGCCAAAAGCGCTAGGAATCGCTGGGCCGCCTCCTCGCCAGTCTGACCGAGGCAGAAGCATGGAACTTGTTGGTCTCGTAGTGAATCAACAGCAGATTTTCTAGTTTCTCAGGTCTACAGTTCCGGTTGGGTTTATGGAGTCAGGGAACAGATGCGAAGATGAGAGTAAATCTGTTTAATCTGGTGAAGCCATGTCTTTGGTGATGTGCTGCACAAGATATCAGGCCTTGCGTGCTCAGCCACAGCAGCAGGCCGACGAGGCTTCGAGCTATTCTCCAAGATGCACAAGAATGTCTGTGACAACCCCCCCCTCTCCCGGCAACCCTGTGCAAACTTGATGTGCTCATGTTTCTGCAAGTGGCGACGGAGTTCTCCAAGCTCTCTTCACTTCCCACTGCTCTGTGACACGCGAGGCAGCAGGCAGCGCAGCTGCGCCAGTCCAGCCCTCGAAGACTCCGCGATCTTCTCCTCAAGCCACAGGGCACTGCTATCAGCTGATGCTGCAGTGTGGGTCCCAGGTGCGCAGCCACCAGCGTTCACTGGCCCTGACGATGCAACTGGATGAGTTGGAGCGGCAGGTAGGGTAGAACGGGGTGCAATAGGCCAGCATGCACGTGCAAGGTGCTGGAATCCAACCATGCTGCAATGAAGCAGACTACTAACTTAGCCTCCCAGAGTCTGTTCCAACTGGGCGAGTAGGGCCAGATGCGGCTAGATGTCGGGAGTTTCTTGAGGAAAGCAGCGTTCTGCAAGGTGCCATGCAAACGTAGTCTCGGGCTTGCAGGGCTTTGGGAGATGCCAAAGTGGGCTTAGCGGGGATGTGCTTCCAGGCTTGTCGATGCAAAACGAAACACCGGACATGCCTGGATCTTTTCTTGCAACTCAACAAATCACAAAAGGCAGCGACAAGCATTGGCCTTGCTTCCTCCGCTCGGAGGTTAAGACTGATGCTCAAATCTTTTTTGCTCAGGGCGGTTTGCGTGTCCGCTGAAAAGGAAAGACGGAAGGCCGCGATACGTGATAGTCGGAAAACCGTTAGAGTCGTTGAAGCTGCTCGGCCAGAGGGGCTTTGTTAGAACTCGGGCCGACTGCACTTTGGCCACCTCTACGGTGAGAATCTTTCTGGGTGGGTTTTTGTGGGACGCTCAGGCTGCGTCAAATCTGGCACTCGTACCGAAGCTGCTTTGTCAACTACAAAGTCCCTAAAATTGGAAAACCATCCTAAGCCCGAAACGCTCAGAAACCATCAACGAGAGGGCAACCATGGGATAAGCTGGGCCGTTTCGCAGGCGGAGGATTTGGCCCGTGAGTGCACGCCTTGGTTGGTTTCCTGGTGATGTCCTTGTAGCTGCCTTTCCATCTCTTTCCATCTAAGTTTCAAGGGTTGAGGGGTTGAGTGCTTTGGTTAGGTCCGCCGGTCCATGTATCGTTACTGTTCAAGAAAGTTTATGGATGTTTATGGTCGCTCATGGATGCTTAAATGCCCTTCCTTTTCTGCTTGTTCCCAAACTCGTTTGCACAGTTTTGACCACTTGCGCGGCTGTCTTGTGCAAGGACTGGAAAGGTGCAGTCCAACCTGTACAAGGAGCAACTGTGCTTGAGAGTCCCCTACTTGTCCCTGTGTTGTCCATAGTGTCCATATTGAGCAGAAAGATTAGCAGTTGCACGTGCCGGGAGGAGCCCCTCACTACCGTGGTGCGGGCCGTGCACTCATCGAGCATATACGGCTGAATTTTCCGTCCAAGGTAAATGAGGGAAAAGGAAAGGTGGTCACACGAGCCGAAGCTTGTCATCAGTCGGCCGGGCAGGAGTAATGTAAGTCTGGTTGCGGAGTATGATGCTGACGACTGGCAAGTCTGGCATTGCGATGCAAGCTACCTGTAAGGTACTTGATGCCCATGCAAGCGCGCTGGACGCCATCCAAAATCAGGCGTTATGCTGAAGATGCTGCTTGCAGACAAAACCCGGGCTGCTACTCTCATCCCTCAGACGTGGTTTGCCAGCCAACCACCCACAGCATCCCTTGGCTACAATGGCTGCATGCCTACAATGGCTGCATGCCATTTGTTTCTGCAAGGTGGGTGCCGTCACTCAGCGCATACACGCCATCGAGGGAGCCTTGTGAGGGAGCTGATCTCGTGTGTGCTGGCCAAAAGTCTGTGGTGCTGCGCGATTGTATGCGCGGTCTGCTTTGATCGCGAAACTCCAGAGTGCGCTTTGTGAGCAGCAAGCAGTCGAGGCAAGAATGGATACTCCAAAGTGCCACGTATTCCGAAACTGTTCCGAAAGGGGCCCTATACCGTATGTCTTCTGTGAAAAGCACAAGTACCAGTGACGCCTCCGCTCGTCGTTGTTCTTTCCAGCTTCAAGGTAGCTTGCTGCTGCAGTACAGGATAACATGGTCGATTGAGGCCGCAGCTACTCACATGTGATGCCACTGAGATTGACGCACAATAGGCTTGACGCCATATCAACTTGGGGACTTTGCTCGCGATGGCGACGTTGTCGGCGGCGTGGCCACACTTCGTGCACAGCACCTAGCAGCACGAGTTTCATTATTTACGGCTGGCGTGTTGCTCTGGCCAAGGCCGCGTGTTGAGCTAGACGTCGAATTGAAGACCCTTGCGGATCAGTTGGATCAGGCTGACGTCATGTTGGGCATGCAGCTCTCAACCTTTGTTTGGGGGTGTTGCTCGTCAGAACAAAATTCTTTCAGCCATGAATGTAGCAACTCACACTCCTACTAGTTTCAGCATGACATGTGTCATCCCAAACTTGTGGCGACTTGGAGCTGATCCTAATGTGAGTGGACCGTTGGTTGTCTTGCATCTGAACATCTGAGACACTGCCAGGTGTGCAGACGGATCGGCAGGATTGAGCCATGCGTGACGGCCATTGAACTGAAGCTGGAGGATCTGCGGGGTCGTCCGTTCAGAGCTGCTCTCTGCCTTTCCAGAAAATATGACTCATGTGATGCCAGATGTTTCATGCGTCACCAGGATGTTTCATGCGTCAATTCGTGCCTGTGTGTGTTTGCAGGAAGTTATTGACCGATGTGGTGTCCTCCTCGGCACCCAGGGCATGGCCTTGTTCACGTACCAGCGAGACAAGTATCCTTATGCAAGCGGGTGGAGGATGGACTTGAAGATTACCCCACGTAAGCAGTTTTAGGACTCATTTTCAGCACGTTGGCCAAGGTGGTGATGCAAAGGTGCCATGGTCTGCAAACTTAGATCACCATAATCATTCAGCATCGGAAGGCAGCAGGACTCTGTGTGCCTAAAGGCTGAACAGCCCTAGATCCCAAAGCCTAGGAATTCAAGTCTAACCCCTATAGCCAGCTGGCCAGGTGGGGGCACTGGCAACACAGGCCCGGGAAACCACTTGCAAGGAGGTAGGTTCGGCAATAGTGACTTAGTGTCTTCGACAAAATATCCTCGACCAGAAGTGTGCGCCCCATGCTGTTGAGACTGACGATCTGCGTTCTTGGAAGCTTGGGTTTGTTTGGGTTTCGTCCAACGCCGCTTGGAGGCGGAAGTGGCTTCCGTCGAAATGCGGGTCGGGCGTCAGATTGCGAATGAAGTGATCGAGATCAACATGGAGCTTGAGGCGAACCAGTGAGCATTGTTGTGTTTCTCTTCTCAGACACTTGCTGTGCGGAAACTGTGACATTTAGCCGGCCCGTTCCCACGGCCCATTTGGAAAGACTTGCCTGCTTGGACCCACGATTGTCTTCGGAGCATACCCTTGCCTTGGAAGGGAAAAACGGGTTGTCGTGGGGACGAGCCTTTCCAGATACCTTTCCTGGGACGGGTGGAACCAACTGGAGCCCTCATGGGGCTGGGCAGGAGGGCTGAGAAGGCGGGAGGGAAAGCGCCGCACCCATGGCTGCCACAGCCAAGCCGCTATCCATCCATCCACTCTCGTGTTTGTTTAGAGAGCACTTGATCTGCCGCCCTTAACCCCGCACCCTACACCCACAACCTAGCCTGCACTTGCATCCTTGCTGCACCACACACCCTAAAATGCGAGCGTTGCTAAATTTTCCAATGCAAGGAGTTGCGGCGCGCGTTTGCCGAGAAAACTGAAGTGGAAGGCCGCACTTGGGACTTGGACCAGACGCTAGGATTGAGGGCTAAGAGATGTCTAGCGCAAATGAATTGAACTACTTTGGGGTAAAATCACCTTAGGGTATGAAGGGTAGGAGTTCGCGGCTTGGATTGCCTGGAATTTTGGCTCCAGGTTCATTCTTCGGGCGCCCCCCTTGCAACATTGCTAAGCATGTTTCTTCACCTCAAACTCGGCTTCTGTTGGCACGGCTGGTCTTGGGTGTTGGGTTGGATGATTGTATGAGAACCACCGGACGCATTGATGGGAAAATGGTGGGTGCCCAAGGCCGATTAAACTAGCTTGTGATGCCGGTCGTGCAGGCTTCGGTGGAATGTGGCAAGACCAGATTGATCATTTCGATTCTTCTGGACTGGTTTCGATGCTCCTGTCTCCATCGCATCAACTGCTAGTCATATTCCTGGACAGGCTTGAAGACAGAGCATTCCACTCGCCTGACTACTTTGGACAGCTCCGTGGCGACGTTGCATAAAGGCTTGTGAGGGTTGCAAGAAGTTAGAGGATCTCTGTGCCCCCGTCAATTAGGTGAAATTTGCATGCTCGCACTCGCTGCTAAAGCAAGCCGCGCACGCTCGCCCTTGGTGCAGGGCTTGATGTCCTTGCATCGGAGTTGCAGGCCTGCAAGATTCTGCAAGATTGGGTCCGGACGCACTCTGGCTGGGTGTTGCTTTTGACCAGGATACTAAGTAGAATTCAGCTGAAGTATAGTGCAACTCAACCGTGCTGTGCTTGTATAGGCTTGTGTTGTGCAGAAACTTCCTGTGCTTGCCTTCGTTTGGAGGCCTCTGTCGAGCACTCCCGGCAGACCTTCGCCACCCAGGTGGACCACCGTCAGTCGTGCCACTTGGACGCAGCGTTCCCTTACCGTGTGCATCTGAGATCATATCCTGAACTCCGTATACTCCATCCCTCAGTCGGTGAGTCCCTTGCCACGGAAACAAGGCGAGCGGCACGAGCGGTCGGCCGCCGAGCTTACGCAGCGTGCTGGAGAGGCGGCTGCATCCCTGCAGGCCCAGGAATGAGAATTGAAGGCTTGTTGTTTCAGACTGGTGAGCACACTTGCAGGCTTTCAAAAGTGATGCGCCTCATTGTCAAAGGGTCCCGTTGGGCTCGTTTCAGGTTGGGGAGGAGGTTTGGCGGCAAAGCTCGAAGCGAATTGCATCTTTCCGACCTCAAAAACGAAGATGGCGCATCGAGTGTTTTCAAGTCTGCTCTTGCTCCGGCGAGTGCACAGGGTACTGCGCTCAGGGCCAAACACCACAACGCGTCAGCACACCTCGCACAAACGCAGGTTTTCCTGCACTGCGCGTGTGCTTGCAGTAGCTTTTCTAAGGACCTGGATGTTGTTGTTAAACTTGTTCTAGTTGTTTTTTTGATAGGGACAGTTAACTTCTGGAGCGTGCATGTTGGCAGCAATTCAATGGGAATGTTGGGGCGAGGTGTACTGCAAGAGCTTTTGTCACGACTTCGGTGTCTGCCTGTATGGGCCCTAACCCCAAGAACCGCAAGCGCCTCAGCGCTTTGGATCGTGATGAACGCAGTGTCTAGCTAGCCCTCCTGTGTTGAGACTGTTGGTCTAAAGCTGGCCGTCTCAAGTGTGTGCAGAATGACGCAAAAGCCTTCCTATACTCCCCTTAGAAACATAATGGAAACACAATGAAGGTAGTTTCTTCGGGTTTTATACAAACCAAAGTATACCTGAATTCTTGAGGAAACTATCCTTGGGGGGGGGTTTACTCACATCTTTGGGCCCTGCTTGTGTGCACTTTACTTCTTGCTCCAACTGCAGCAGCACTCTAGGCAGTCACGCCAATTTCGGCCGCAGTAAATTCGCGAATTGCAGCCGTTGTGGAAACCGTGGTAGTCCGGCTCATGTATGCCCCACTTGCAATTGCAGCCTTCTGCGTATGCCCCTCGAGTGGGGCAGTCTTGAAATCATTAGAACACGTGGACGTGAACGCTGCAAATGTCTGGCTTTTTCTAGGCCGGATGCTCACCCAAGGGATGGCAGAAGCTCACCCAGGGATGGCAGAATGTTGAGCCTGTGGGCCCCAAACGCCAAAACTGCAAGCGGCACAAACTCGGTGTCTCCTGTGGACAGGATGTTGTGCTAATGGGCTGACAGGATATTTCCCTCCACGGCCTCGCCTTTGTTCAATCATCCCAAGTCCCCTGGTTGAACTCCCCAAATCCCCAAAGGTCCCCCAAATCCCCACCCTCTCTCCCCCCCCAAATGCCCTTACGGAGGCCCTGGAGGAGGCGCGGGCGCACGCTGCGGAGTCCATAGCAGGCTGTGAGGGGCGCCTCAGCCAGCTGGAAGTCAATGGCAAGGCTGGTGTTTTTGTCTTGTGTGTGTGCGCGCGCGTGTTATTTGATTTTTTTTTGGGGGAAGGGCGGCGAGTGATTAGAGAACTTTTGTAGCAGATTAACCAGGGTTTCAAAAGGGCTTAGGAGGGGTCATGGACGCGTCAGCTTTCAGGGTCTTCTTGTTTTTTTGCCTCTAGGCTCTATAAGGTTCTAAATTCTTTTCGAAGTTGTCGCTGTCACTGTATCGGCTTTAGACTCTAAGACTCTACGACTCTAGGTTTCGGCTTGGAGAGGGCTTGTTGCGCAGGATGCCCCTCCAGACCCACTTGCCAACACCAATTTTTACATTTTGCAGCACTCCATAAAGCTTCATGCCGGAGGTCTATGAGACCTCTATCAACGGGCTCCAAACAGACCTGGCCCATCTTGAACATCGCTGTTGGGATGCTTTCGCCTCGAAGGCGTCGGTCCAGCAGGCGGGTTTAGGTTTCGGGTTTGTAGGGTTTAGGTACCGCGTTTAGGCTTGTGTGGGCTGAGCGTTTGTAGGGTGTAGCGTGACAGGGTTAAGCTAAGCTTGTCATGGCCAACGGCGTATCACTGGGAAACCAGTTCCCCCCAAACCTTACGCCACTCTTTGCCAGGTCACTTACGCACTTTACTTCGTGGGCTTGCTGTAGGGTCTAAAGCGTGAAGCCCCCCCAAAGCCCTGTGAGAAAGAAGAGCTTGGGCTTCACTACGCCCTGAGTTGGAAGGGGCGGAAGTCGCACGGTTCTACAGGGAGATGTGAACCCCAACAGCACAAAAGCCCCCTAACCAGGAGTAGTAGCGGAACCCCGGTGCGGTCCTGAATGGTCGTGTCAGCCACGGATTGCTGTTGTCCTTTGCCGTAGCTCCTGCACCATCCTTCAATAGACTCCAGGTTGAGTTGGAGCCCCGGGCCCGAAAACTCGAAAGCTCGACGCCCTCAATCCCCTGAAGCGGAGAGATGCGGTGCAGGTCTTGTCCCTGGCATCCGAAGCCCACACGAAACTGGACTTTGCCATGATGGACCGTGCCTCGCCCATGTTTCGAGAGGCCCCTCGAGCTGAGCTTTCGAGCCGAGACCCAAATTGAACTCGATCAGAGACTATGGCTTCCCGCACGGTGGGAGCTAAAGAGTCACACCTGAAGTACATACCATGGTGCGGGGGACACCGTCCCACCTTAGGGGTGCGTGCATATGCTGGTCGGGGGAATGTCCTTTCCATGCCCCCGCATGAAATGACAAAACTCAAAAGACAGGAAAGAAGGGCGAGAGTCCTTAGAAGGGCATCTTGCCCAAACGCCGCAACCATTTTTCTGAGGTGCAACGCTTCGGCGCAAGATGGAGGAGGACACTCCCTTCTGCCTGAGACCCGGTTCAAGCCGGAGTGTCCCTCTATGTCCCTCTGAAGCACAGCATGGTGCAGCCTTGTGCAGCAACCTCCCACAAGCTCCCACAATGCAGGAATTTGACATGGTCAAGAAGACCATCTTCCGCCAGCAGACGGCCTTCCGAGACATCGACGATGCAGTGGATTGCCCCCTGCCTGAAGATTCAAAGCAGAGGGTGAACCTGTATGATGCATCTCCGATTGCCCAGGTGTGAACAATCACAAGAGGCAAATCATGCAGTTTCGCGAAGAGCTTCGTCGACAGGATGAGCAGCTTCAGGCAGGGTCTGGTACTCATGTGTGTTGTTTCATGCAGATCCCAAATCCTAGAGGTCCTAGCCATCTGCTTGAATGTGCCTTCTGATTGGTCTCTTCCTTCTCGCAGGACTTTGCGACACACTTGGATTTGCAAGACCGCAACGTGCATCATCTAGCAGCGGAGCATCAGCGAGACGTCGACCACATAGAGGACAGGGAGTTCACTGAGGAAAGACATGGAGAGACCATCTGTTGCTCTGCAAGGATGTTTGTGGAAGCCTTCAGCGCAGCTTCAACGCCGCGGCCCTGGACCAGAGCCATATTGCGATGAGTTCGGTTTGACAGTCGTGGGGTATCGTGGGGTCTTTCTGGGCGTGGTCATGGAGCTGCAGGCGAAAGTGAGCGGCATGTGCAGTTCGCATGCCTGCTCCAAGGACCAGGTATCGCAATGCCAGGCGACCGCCGTGTCCATGAGCAACTGCAGCACAAGGCGACTCCAATGTGTGAGATGATTGGGACAGGCCTCAGACAAGTCGGCTTTGCAGGATCTCCCTGGAGCAAATGGACAAGACCTTGGCTCTGAGGTGACTCTGGCATTGTGTTGACTCATAAGTGTTCCAGCGCAAGCAAGCTGACTCATCAACATGCGGGAAGCCTTAGCACCCCCCGATAGCTGCCACGAGATGCATCTTTGCTTTGAAGCTACCGGAACCTGAAGTCGTGCTGGGCGCTGGGTGCCACCTGCACAGGCAATCACTGGACAAGCTGATTCAGGATCATCACCATCTAAAGAGCACGGTACTTGGCCCTGATGTGGCCGTCTCCCCAGCAAGCATGTTCCAGCCTGGTGCAAAGGAGTCAAACACTAGCACCACCAGCTTCCCTTGTTTTGGTCTAAGAAATCTAAGACATCTTGCTGTGCTACCTTCTGTGCGTGTTTCCGAGAGTCAGTCATGCATCTTCAGGTCCCGGAGACGCAGGAAGAGGCTGCGACATCGACTGAATAAAGCCCGAGGCTTGCCAGTCCGCAGCGCCGTAGCACTTCCATGTGCTTTTGGACACTGGAAGCTGACGAAGAGATCGAAGAGATCGAAAAGCTTCGTTGAACAAGAGTTTAGTTTGCTTCCAAAGCGGAGCATGGCTGATGTGACAGGCGCATGCCTGTAGCCACTGTAGCCTGACTGACTCTCTGCATGTGCTCAACATGAGCGCCATGCAGCAGAGCCCGGCAGAACAATCTCATGGTCATGCCCCGAGATGTCCGTGCACGAGGTGCTACACAGACCCCCCATGCCCCCTCCCCTGCCTCTCTAGGACTTAAGCTGTGACCTGGATCTTCATGGCTGCAGCCCTTTCCGCAATTGCCGATTGAACCCGAGCACGACTGCCAGGAGCCTTCAGGAGCCTTGAGATTTTCGTGCAGATGAGCACAACGTGCCAGCACACGACAACAAGTATACAGTTGCGGCAGACCAAGCCTCCAACAGCCTCTGACAAGCTTGCCAAGCACATCCAAGCACTGCCAAGCACTTGGAGCACCGATTGAACACAGCACTAGTCGTATCTTCGGTGACATCATGCCGGACGCTTGTGTGGCTATGGATGCTGCAGTTGCTCTGACCTGTTTGAAGCTCGCTGCTAGGACAAGACATCTGGTACAATATGTGGAGTTTGTCGATGTGCTACCCGAGCCAGGTGGACGTGGCGGTCAAGAGGGTCATGGAGCACGCAGCGCTTTGGCTTAGCATGAAGGGAAACTTCAATCGTTGACCATGAGGCTTGCGCTTGGGCGCGCTTGGCTTGTAGCTCAGGACTTCGCCAGCAAGTTCAAGCATCCTGTCAAATTCAATGGCTCCAGCCTGAGGCGGTACTAGGCAGTTCTGGGCAGTTTAGGGTTTAGCTGGTGTGCATGTTTGGCTTTCCCCACTCTCTTTCCCCAATGACGAAATTGCTTAGTAGGGAGAACAAGACTGGCTCTCAACCACGAGAAAGACAAGACTGGATTAGGGCAACGAGCTTGTATGTAACCTTGTGAGTTCATGAAGAGTTGTCAAAGATTGCTGCCAAGAGAGCTCTGGAGGCACGGACTTTGTCGAACAGCGGCTGACAACAGAGCAGCAGCTTGCCGAGGTTCCTGACACTGGATCCGGGCCTCGCATGCCGGCCATGCGTCAGAATATAAGCGAATGAAGATTTCGGGATGGCTAGGTTTAGGTTGAAGATGAAAGAGCGAGTCCTGTACATCTTCACCTTTCACGGCACTTGCAATTGGCAGCTTTAAACGAGCCAGAAATGTCACCATTGGAGGTCACTCGCAGCGCCAGCAATCAAATGCACGTCTTCCTCGAGCGATATGGGTCCTTGCTGTCTTCAGAGGCTGCGGTGTGGGGGGGGGGCAAAAATTCCTTCTGTGGATTCTGTGTAGGGTTCAGTCTCGGTTCAGTCACTTCGTGAATTACGCGAATTTTGAGTCAGCATTGAGAGGGTGCTGTTTGGAATGTGCTTGGACATGGCTCATCACACGTGCAGGATCTTAGGGCTTTGGCCGGCTGCCCCGCGGCGGAAACTGCAGAGGCAGCGGGCGTGAAGCTCACGTGACTGATTCAGGGAAGCTCTCGCCACCACGTACCAGAAGATTCTTGCAGCCTTCTGAGTCTGCTAAGTCTATTGCCTCGACTCATGCTTGGGTATGGTAGGTTTCGGGCGAGGGGGTCTGCGAGCGAAGCACGCCCGGCTGGTCCGGCTGGTGGCTCGAACTGCCTCTCCGCATGCGTGTCACTACTTTGGTTTGGAGCTTGCAGCATGGGGGCTACAAGGGGGACATTGGGAGTCTGCATGAGACCGAACCCTAGCACAACTAGCTCGAGTTCAAACTTGGCATAACTTGGCTGAGACTCACGAAGCCTGCATCACGAAACACTGAAACACCACGCGGCGGTTGCAAGATGTTGCAAGTCAAACATGTTCTGCAATCCCAGCATGGGATGCAGTCATTCGTGTACATGACCTTTGAGCCCGGGATCCACACTCGGATGATGCAATCCAAGGGCATGCCAGTCCAAACATCTGAGCTTTTGCTGACTATGTCTGCCATGGGTTGCCCACTGGAGCGATCATGGACGGGCAGCGGGGCCCTGAAATTCAAAGCGTTTGATCGCGTCCTTGCTGTGCTTTGGACACCCAAAATCCCCCTCCCCCCCCCCCCTCCCCGCCCCTAACCACCCTTAACCCCTACTAAGCCCCGTAAACCCCTAGAACCCCGAAAGCACCCTTGAGCCCCTTACGCCCTCGCACCCCTTAAACCCTCAAGTCCATAGTGCCGAGGGGTGCGGCGAACCGCGTTGAGGGTCGCTGCGACCTTGTCCTCCTGGGCTGGAGCCCATGGTTTTTGGGGGAATAGGGCTTAGGGGCTAGTAAATCTCAGGGGTTACGGTGTTAGCAGGTGTTGCAGGAACTTCAGGGGCTTCAAGAGTGGGGCTGCAGGGATTTCAGGGGCTGACGAGTGGAGATCTTGCAGCTCGCCCTCAATTGGTGGATCAGTTCCCGCATGTCAAGCAGTCAAACACACGGTGGCGATGCTACATTGGAATTCTTGGGCCTGAAGCCTGCGAAGCCCCCCCTCCCGCGGTGAGTGTAAGCTCCTCAGGCATCGCAAGCTGCTGATCTCCTGAATTTGACACTCCTGACTCAGCCTGAGCTCCTATAACCCTTTATGCCTTGAAGCCCCCCCAAAAGCCTCCCCACAACTAAAACTAAAGACAGGACAGCCTTCATTGTCCTGAACTTGGCCTCGGACTACTTCTGGACTCGAGGAAGCTCCGAGGCTCTCTCCCTCTCTGCACCTCTATTACGCCCTGTTGCGATGCCCTTACGCCCTAAGGCCCCCTCAGCAACCTCAAGCCTTAAGCTCCCACGCTCAACAAGCACCCTTAGTGGCGTCTCTAAGGCCTTCAACCCTTAAAGCAAAAAGCTCTGACTTCCACTTGCGTCTTGATCAAATTTTGGGGTGCCTAAATTCCAGCCCGATGTAGAAGAGGTGCCCATAAGGGGATTCCACTCAGGCGGAGGATGTTGCCACGGTCAGTGGCTCCGCGGGCATGGGCACCGCAGACATCTACATGGGGCCCAGGCCCAAGTAAGGTTGGGGGTGTAGGGGTCTTAGAAATCCGTGCAGCTCTAGACTCTGCAAAGTACAGGCGAAAGTTTCAAGACGCGCTTCCTGTGCTGTGAGGTGTGCCGTCCCAGGCAGTGCACGCAACCGTTATGTTCGCCAGGGCGCGTCACGTGTGTTTGCAGTTTAGTTCAAAGTTCAAAGCTGTGTCCAAGGAGTTACACCCTCGAGTGCCGGCCTTGGCAGTGATGCGTTTCGGGTTCGAGGGTTCAGGGGTTTTCGAAGGGCGGTTAAGACTGTGGACTGTGTGACGCAGCTCGACTATCCAAAATCTTGGACACTGTGGCTTTGAGGTGACCCAGCACAATCCAACACCACACAGCATAAACCTCTGATTCAGATGCTCGGACGTAAGCAGGTCCTTATCTCAGCAACGGAGGGATATGAAACGTTTCTCGTGCAGATCGCAGCCCTTCGGGTGCAATGCCTGCTTCGAAGCGTTTTCGATTGCGCCGCAAGTCTCCGGCACCATGCGGGCCCTTACTGCAGTGGGCCCCCGTCAAGAAAGACTTTGGGGCCGTCGTGCACAACCTCACGGCAGAGGACGAAACCCCAAACTTTTTCCGACAAGGTATTGGGCATCAGGCTTTCCCCAAACCCTGCAAGCAGGCTTCATCCGTCATAAATCGTAGGTAATTGGGAGTTTCGGTGAAGCCCTTAAACCTTGCGTACGCCGCCAAACCCTAAGCCCCCAAACCTCCACATCCCCGAACCTCCGACCTAAGCAACCCAAAAAGGCCCAAAAGCACCCCCTATACCCGAGACCCATAAAGCCTCAACCCTCCGTAGCCCTCTCTTCCTTGGAGGAGCTGCGGCTCCCGGCACGGCGCCGCGCCCTGGCGCGGCTCCTAGTGGCACGTGGCGGCTTTTTGGCGGTGCGGGGTCTTCCACGGCTCCAGGCACAGGAGCCGCTCGGACTTGTATGGTTCAGGGCCTAGTTCAGGGTGTGCTCACTTTACCCCACAAAGGACTATTCTTGAAGTATCCGCACATGCATTGTGCCGACTCCCTCTGCACAACAAACCCCGTGACATGCACATGGCAGGAGTAAGTGGGAAGCCTAGACACCCTTGTCAGCCTCGTAGATGTTGCGGCCCAAAGAACGACTGTGCACCCCAAAGCCTAAGCAGGCTGGTGGAGCTCACAGGCGCCTTTGGAACCTGTGAGATGCAGCTTGCGGCCCAGCGGGGCCGCGCCCAGGTGCCTGGCACCAGTGGAGGTGCCGTGATGAGGACGGGGGGTTTTAGGATCCAAAGTTGAAGGGCCAACTTTCACCGACCAAAACAGTTTAGCAGCAGCTGAGGAGAGTCCTGAGGGGAACGTCGACAGAACTCCCGCAATCCTTGCACCGAAAGCTTCGCAACATAGGATTGGCAATAGCCGTGACCCCGACACGGGCGAGTTGAACGCTTCGTTCACAGTCAGCGCGCAGCTTCCTGCAAGGACGACAAGAGTGTAAAAAGAATTAGCTTTTGGGCCACTGACTGGACAGGACAGGCAGCTTGTAGCTGGAGAAGCATCTTAATCCATAGCTTAGGCTAAGATATGCTAAGATGCTTTCCGAGCCGTTCCTGTTCGTGTTTCTTCCTTTTCCGACCTGCAGGAGCGAGAGTGGAAACCGCTTGCAGGCCTGCCAATTTGACTCCAGCACGCAGAAGCCAATCTGGCACACAGATGGCACATACCGGCCGCGGCCGCCCACCGGATCCATTTTGTACTGCGGCGAAACAAGTTTAGGGGACACAGACGTGGGACCCCCCGCTGCCGTAGGTAGAGCAAGACTCCTGCTTCAGGGCTTCCCACGCAGCAGTTTATGGCACCCACCATATGCAGTGCCATGCAGCAAGGATCGAAGGATCGCAGCGCACCCTGCGCCTGCAGGTGTGTCAGTACAGCCCGGCATCACAGCAGCCCCGTTGGCATACCGATGCCACATTCCGATGTCGTCCTCCAACAGGATCCCTTTTGTACTTTGGAGTCTTTGGAGGGAGCAGGTTTGTCAAATACGGGCCTTTTGAGTGAAATTTGCAAAACTGCTTCTTTCCGATGCTTCTCAGGTACAGCATTGAAGTGCCTCCTGTTGGCGGTGACACCTGCTTCGCAGATGCTTCGGCAGCCTTCGAGAGGCTGCCCCTGGAAGCCAGAAGCAGGCCGAGAAGACGGGCTCCATGCCAAAAGTTGTTCGAAGGGCGTTAGGATGTTTTGGGTTCATTTTGGAAATCTCTGCAAGGTTGGAAGGCCTGGAAGCCGTTTGCAGCCAGGCCAGGTGGAACAAGCAGTTTGCCTTTACCCCATGCACTTCTCCGAAACCCTGGAGGCGCACCACGACGCCTTGCACAATGCGAGGAAGCCGGGCACATATGTGCCCATGACGCAGGCAAGGGGTTCGGGCCAAGAGAGACCGGGAATGTCCAGTGCTGCAACCCTTGCGCGTGCATCACACGTACATATATGATATATATATATATGTGTATACATAAATATGAATATGCATATAAAAATAAATATAAATCTGAATATGAATATAAATAAAAATGAATAATCATAATGTGTATATATATATACATATATAAATACATGTATATGTGTGTGCATATGTACGCACATACATAAGAACACACAGGCATACATATCCTCTTCGAGACTGCAAACAAAAATGCACGTATGCATTGAATCCTCTATTTGCTCATGTGTACATGCATATATACATATATATATATGCACACAAAAAACACATATGTGCATCTAGGCATAATAGATATGCACATAAGTAAGACGGTACATAAGCACATATGTACATCTGTACAAGACACGATTACATACATGAAAGCGTATATACATACATACGTTACATGTACACGCTTTTACGTACATACGTGCATACATACATACAAACATATACACATATACACAGACATGCCTATATACACGTATGCACGTATGGGCATAGATACGTAGACACGTATGTAGCTACATACATATGTATACACGCACATATACATACATACGTATATACACCTGCACATGTATACACATATTCATATGCCGTTTTTGTCTGTATATTTCTGTGTGTTGGCATTGGTGTTTGTGTGTGTGGGTGTGGCTTCATGGGTTGAAATTGTGAGGAGCAGATGCAGCAAACTCCACTGATGGCCGTGCCACTGGTGATGACGCACCCGTCAACGGGGCGGAAGTCACTGTACGGAGCGCTTGACCCTCCTTCCCAGCTACCCTAGCTGTCCCACCTGCAGCAGAAAGATGTATGTGCAGTGCACGTGGCCGGAATGTGACAGAAGGAGCCAACAGCAGCGTCTTCTATGTGCAGGAAGTGGGGGGCGCTGGGCCCCCGGCATCTCTGCTGGAGAGAGCCGAGGGTGCAGAGGCCAGGAGAAGATCGAGTTGTCCAGGCAATCGCTTTCCGCCGTGTTCCAGTGATGCCAGGCGTACGAGGATCCCTCTGTCGACGAGCTGAGGAAGTGGCTGCCCCATGCAACAGGACGTTGGGAGATTGGTGGGGGGACAAAAGTGCTTAGGATACAGCCTCTGCAGCGGGAAATGAGTTGACGCTTTTGTTGTTTTTGTTGTCTTGGAGGGCCGGAGTTTGTGGTGAGATGGCAATGGCAACCTGGAGATCTGGTGATATGGGACAACCGCAGCACGATGCACTGCGCCACAGGTGGGCAGAAATCGCAGGTGATGAGCGTGAAATCACAGAACGATCAGAACGTGATGGTAGTCCTGCATATGACTCTGCAATGTTCTGTAAGTTGGATATTTTTTCTCACTGCACCTGTTCTCGCATGCACCAGGCTTTGACCACGATCGCTATACTCGCCAGCTGTGGCGCACGACCTTTCACGATATGTCATGGGATCCGCCAGTGAGGCGGCTTGCTCGAGAGAGCGCGAGCTGAAAGGAACAAAAAAGGCAAGCCGTCGAATCGAACCTCACAAGTTTTCGAAGTCACACAAGTATCAGATGTGAGAGCAGCTAGTGGAAGATGGCGTTCAACACCACACAGCCGTGGGCCGAGGTCCAACGGCTCCCTACTGGAGGCGCTTCAATTCAGTACAGCTCAGGGTGGGAGATGTGGGGAAAGTCTGTTTTGGACTTTGTCACTTGCCGTGGGTGTTCTGTGATGCTCCGTGTCCTCCCAGACCTCCTCCAGGAAGGGACCGTGCGCATGGGCTTCGGCTCCCAACCATCACCCCTGATGCCCCTGGACTCAGAGTTGCAGCCACGTAGAACCGGGCCAGCAAGTGATACTTAGTGGTGCGACGTGATACTAAGTGACAAAGTGATAGGAAGTGCATAAGCATGCAAGAGGCGCGGCAGCTTGGACGTTTGGCCAAGGTCTGTCCATGCCAACTCCATCTCGCTGTCGCTGATGCCCAAGGACGACTTGCAGCATGGTGGGCATGCTTCCAGGCTTCAGTAAAACCTTACACCCCCCCAAAAGGCGCTCAAACGTGAAGATGCAGATTGTCAAAATAGGACACACAAGATTATCAGGCAACAGGCTTGTCGAAAGCTTCCGATGTTTCGCAGGACCTGCAGCGTGGCTTCGGACCCTTGCAGGCCCATTAGTGAGTGTAGCTGAGCAACTCTGTCATCTCCATTCATGCTCGCAAGCAGTCGGTTCTCCGCACCGCTCTCGAAAGTAGGCCTGGTTGAGAGAGTGTCAAAACTTCATCATCGATGCCATCGTGGCATCGTAATGAAATGGTGAGACTCAGCAGATGAGCCAAATCGCTTGCAACCACAAACCCGAGCCCCCAAAAACCCCACAAGTCCCAAAGCCCGTGAAACCATGTGAAACCCTAAACCGCTTGCAGTCCCAGCTGCTCTTCGCGGGCTTGGAGCTGGGTGGAGCTGGCAGGTGCTCCCCCCCCACCCCACTTGTTGCTGGAGGGCTTCAAAGTGTTGAGGACAACTCCCCAGTTGTGGCTCCTTGGACGCTTTGTATAACAGAACGAGACAGGTAGAGGCACCTCAAAGAAAGCACTGAACGACAACTTGGTGGGGGCACGGCAGTGATGACTTGATATCACTTGTGCTCTCGAAGCTTCAATCGAATCGAAGTGGAGTCTCTCAGACACAACCCTACCCTTCCTATATCGGGGATAACGTCTCTTGGGCTTGCAGCTTCAGTTGCAGCGTACCTAATGTACATTGCGTGCGAAGCCTTCAGTTGCAGCGTACCTAATGTACATTGCGTCGCGAAGCGTCGCAGTGCGCAGGATAGATTCGGTTAGATGATTAGTCAATTGAACCTTCTCCAACAGTGTTGGTCACCTGTCGCCATGCCCGGTCCTCCTCGGAAGCGTTGCCATAATCCTGCGTGCGAGTACTTGACCCACGCCGATGTGTCGAAGATGGGAAGCTTCTGCTGTAAGAAGTGCCACCACCACTTCGATGTTGGGTCCAAAGCGGGCAAAAGCCTCACACATGGCGACCTATGCGAAAGAAAACCGGCTGGAGATGCAGAAAGGGCAGACATGCTAGCTCCACAGGCACCGTTAACAGAGATTTATAGCCGTGGCAAAGCAAAACAGAACAAGAAGAAGTGGGCCAAGTCTGACAAGTCCGCGAAGTTTGAGGAGCCTTCCTTACCTTCAGTGGAAATGAAGCGGAATGGCATCTGGGCGGAGGCTGTGTCAGTTTCGTTCCCAGGGCAAACGTCGCCAGCGGCGCCAGCGGCGCCAGCGGCGCCAGCGGCGCCAGCCGCACATGTGTGCCTACGAAGTCGAAGTCGGACTCGGAGCCCCTCAAAAGTGGATCACGAAAGACACGAAAGACTTCCTTCGATGCGGCAAGAGTCTCGGCCGGATCCAAGCCGGGGTTGCAGAGATGGGGTCGAACATCCGGGGAAGATTTCGAAGGAGCAGATAGAAGCGCTCTTTGTCGTGCCAAGGGCTCCTCGGAATGCAGGGGACTCCTGCAGCACAACGTCCGAGTCATCCCCGTCCGTCCGCTTTCATGATTTCGATGAAGAGCAGCTGACGATTAGCGATTCTGACACGGAGAGTGAGAGTGAGACCACCTCTGACTCGGAAGACGACTTTCAGTAACGGCCTGACGCGAAAAACTGGCGAAAGCTCCGGGAAGGCCTTCCCCTGGACCCTTGGAATCCTGAACTCAATTCTAACCTCACCTCCCTCAAGCCACGGCCGTACTTGTTGACTGAATCTTATCCTCAACTTTCAGCGCTCAACCCTAAACTGAGTACTCAATGTACTCACATCCGTAGACAATTCCGGGACGAAACAGTTTTGATCAACCGCAATATCTGCCAGGTGCTTGTTGCTTGTTGTCTGCGGGGACCTGGGGTGAGCATCAGGCATTTGGGCCAAAGCTTTTCCTGTGACACTCCCCGCCACCCTCTTCAAAGTGGGGCGCGCCATGGCCAGCAAGGGATTCCTCTCGAACATTTGCGTCTGGGTGGCTCGGCCCAGTGTTGGATTTTTTGCTGGAAGTACTTTTTTGTTTATGTGCGTAGTATGGGACCACGGAAGTTCAGTGCTGAAGTAAAGATCTCGGCAGGTGGCTGTCACCTTGGCCACTTGGGGGATCTCATGGATAGTTGCCGCACCAGTCAGCTGCCACGAAGTTCCTACATGCGCCAAGCACCTGCAGACTTACCCCGGCTACTACCACGTGATCTCGGCTGCAGCGTTGGTGGCTATGCTGGGTCATGAGGTGCTGAGCCTCATCGCGACTTACATGGGAGCTCAGGAGACGCAAGCCCTGGTGCCCCACCTGCAGAGCCGCTTCTTGCCCACCCTCCTGCTTGCTGTGATGTTCGGCGTGCTTGCGACCGCCGAGCGCCTCTTCTCGCGTGCGGAGTGGACCATTGCACACGTCATGCCCAGCGCCGACGGCCTCACTGCTCCTGGCCGCCCGGTGTACACGATGCAGTACATGGAGTGGGGGATCAACGTCCCGATCATGCTGATCCTGTCAGGATACTGCACGCTCGGGCGCCCCCTGCGCGAGGTGTCGCGGCCGCTGATCGTCACCAATGTGTACGTGATCTTGTGTTGGGTAGCCACGGCAACTGAGAGTGCCTTCCTGAAGTGGTTTCTGATCGGAGTGTCCTTTGCCATGTACGCCTGGGCCTCTTACGACATGCTGAACTGGTGCTCGGCCTACGAGAGAACTGCGCCAATGGATCTTCCTAGCCGCAGCCTTCGGCCCTTCCTTTCTTCTGGCCTGGTGGCGCACTTGCTCCTCTACGGCGTGGTGTACATGGCATCTGTGGTGGGCATCATGGATGCACACACGGAGCGCAAGTCTTTCTTTGCCTTAACCTTCGGAGCCAAGCTCGCCTACAGCGCGGCCTTCGTGTTCATCCGAGCTGATGAGTACCACAAGACCCTGACCGACGTGCTGCGCAAGGTGAGTGTCTCCAATGTTGGCCCCTAGGCATCTTTTGGCACCACTAAGCCACTAAGTCCGTACTAAGTCTGTACCAAACTCCAACGAAAGACAACTGCAAGCAAGAGAGCAAACGCGAACTTCGATACTTTGGAAATCCCATCATTGCCATGGTCAGGCATGATCTCTATCTTGAGGGGCAGCTTTGATATAATTCTCCCGTGCGTGCTAGATGCCGCCGGCCGCTGCAAGCTCCCCGGGACTTATTCGGGCGACATGGCGAAGTTGGAGAAGATCCTGGGCTATGCCGTCTCTGGTGCAAACCTGAAGGATCTGCTTGCAGGCGAAGAGCAGAAGAACGACTTCTCAGCCTACGTGCGGAATGTGGTGCGCCAAGCTGACTGCCCGCAGGCTTTCAACTCGGCGACCCTCTCGACCCAGGGTGCCTGGAGCTGTGACGCTGGAGCGATGCCTCCCATCGCCCAAGTGCTGCACAGCAAGATCCAGCAGAAATCACAGCAGAAGCTGAACACCACGCTACACCTGTCCGTCGTGCCTCGCTCCGCGCTCAGCTTGGGCAAGGAGCGTCAGCTGGTCGCTGCCTTCCAGATCTCCACGGAAGGCCCGAACGACCAGGACGAGCCCACGGCTGCAGCAGTGACAAACTTCGAGACGTTCAAGGCAGGCCAAAGCTCCATGGGCGGATCCACTGCCAATCCCACAAGTGACGAGGGATCCTTGCATGGCATCGTCGCCAACCTCTCCGATCTCAACAAGCTTGGAGCATCGGGCGTACTTGGCACCCCAGAGTTCACTGACGAGGCCAGTGAGTACTGGGGCCACACCGCTTCTGACGAGTCCTGCCCAGAAAGACTTCCCAGGGGAAAGGATGTGACAGGTACAAGTATCATAAGTAGGCAGCACGTGCGGCCAAAAGACATCAATCTTCCCTAATGTTTGTCACTACGGCTCTCCAGCCCAGGAAACGATGTCGCACTTGGGCGCCTTTGCGCAGGCAGCCGTGGGTGCTGTGGCCTTCGACGCGCGCATCGTGGGCGTTTGGGAAGGCAACGTGGCCAAGGCCTTGGGCGGCTACCGCCAGCGTATCGAGTTCCTGAACGACTGCTTGCACGCCAACATCACCGTCATGGGGCAGACGCTGTCGGCCACCTTCCGCATGGACGCATCCAAAGGCCACCTGGACATCCAGGTGATTCCTAGTGGGAGCAGCTGCCCACCACCCGCCATCCCCTACATCTTCAAGTTCGAAGACGGCTGTTTGCATCTCTGTGGGCCGGGTACCTCGAGCTTGAGGCGCCCGCAGAGCTTCGATGGCCCCGGCCTCTGCATCATGGAGGGCGTGCAGAAGCACATGGAGCAACCGCCAATGGAGCGCCAGCGTTCCCTTGCAACCGATGTGGAGCCTGACCCGGAGTTCAGTCGCTTCTCCACTGAAGAGACGAGGTCGCAGGTCTCCATGCGCACCACGCGCCTGAAGGAGGACCTCACTCAGCTGAGCCAGGGCAAGATCCAAAAGACCCCCAGCCACAAGATGTTCGGCTGGATTGAAGAGCAACCGGCCGTGGCTGCCTCTGCCCTGGTCGCCATGACTAGTGCTGTCATCGCACTGCGCAAGTCGCTATGAGTCAGCGTGGTGCCGTGAGGGCAACGCCCCACAAAGCGCTTGTGTAAGATGCGATGCGTAGGTACGACCGCCCATTTGTTTTGTTGCTATCTTAAGGGGTACGCTAGGAGTGGAGCCTTGGTCATTCTGCTTGTGTCTCCTTGCAGGCGCCTTGTGTGAGCGATTTTCGTGCTAAGGGCTTGACCAGGCTTTGGACGCGACTTGTTGCAATTACTGGGAAGTACTGGGGACTTGCGAAGTTCTGCTTTCTTTGAAGGAACGGCCAGGCCAACACTTCTTATTGCAAAGTCCGCACAAACAGCGTGCATTTAAATATCCTGTGGCGGTGCCTCTGGCAATGCAGCCAGTTAATGTATTTACATCGCAGAGCAACGGCAGGGCATGTCTCAATATGGGTGTGTGGAATTGTGTGGAGGCTTGTTGGCCACATGGCCAGGAGAAAGACATCACAGGACTGTTCCGTTTCAAGTTCCTGGGCGCACAGAGTGTGACGTGATGCACACCAACCCAGAGGGCTTCCAGTCTCACGTTTTATAAGCATCACAGCCTCATATCTGCACGATGAGGCCTTGAGGCCTCGGGTACGTTCAATGTGCCCGCGAATTTGTTTCAAGTGGCCTGCCATCCCGGTCGCTGTCTGTTCTTTTTTCAAACCGCGGCGCTGCCAACCCGTTTCAAGACTTCGCAGGCAGACCTTCGCAGGCAGGCAGGCAGGCAGCAGACTTTGCCCAGGGAGTGTCTGGATTCTGGATGCCCAGGGAAAGGAAGCTGAGGCGTGCTGGGGGTGCTCACGGTGTCCACTTCAAGGTTTCATGACTCTTGTCGTCTGCTGCGTCGCTTCGCTCGCCCAGCAGCGC